GCCGGCCACTCACGGCAGCCCAGCTCCAGGTTGAGCTGTTGTTCAGCATCTTAGCTGTAGAGGGCAGTGTCACTGGCCCTCATATGTGGGGTCCGAACCGGTGCCCTCTGGCATCCCAAGCTAGTTCTTAACCATCGCGCCACTCGGCTGGCCCACAGTACTAGTTCTTAAGAGACCCCTCTGCTTGGGGTTGTGTTCCCAATACCTTCCAGAGTCTTAGTTTTGGTCAATTCAGCAACAGGTCTGGAGTGAACACCTGTGAAAGCCACTGACACAACCTGTATATATTTAGGTTCACAGTTCCGCCTGATGGTTTTCTTCTTGATACTTTATATATAAATATATCAAGTTATCACTGGACAAGAGGGATAGTTACGAGACAAATGGCCCTGATTTGAGAGAGACAATTCAATATCATTTTTCTAAATCAATAACATAGCACTTTATCAAACTACTAAACATTAAAAGCAATATGAAAATCATCACATTTAACATACCATGTCAATATAGCTTATTTAAAGAAAAGAAACATTTCAGTATATTTTAGCACCTTTCTCACTGATCTTTCACTGTTATAATCTGTTCCAAACATAATTTTACACAGAACATGTTTTTATGTTTTAACTGCTAAAGGCAGTTTTCAGCTATTATTTAATATACAAGATCGTTTTTAATATTTTTTGTCAGGACTATATTGTAAACTATGTTAAGGGAGAGATTAATATAGAATCTGTGAAAAGAGGCACCCCCCTTCTTCCTTAATGATTTTCTTAATAGCTTCATAACAAAGACAATTATCATGATAAACTGTAATAAAATAACTCAGACAATGTTCTCTTAGTACTGTAGAATTACTCTTTACCAGTACCCGTATTTCACCCCTACTAATAATAAAAAAGTCAAGACGTGAGTAAATGCACACTTATATTAAAAGCAGAGTGGGGGGGAAAAAAATTTTCATCAAGATATGGAAATTTGTAGAAATCACCTAGAAAGGCAATTTAACAAAGATTAATTAATTTTAATAAAGATTAAATTTTTCCATTTAAAATAGTATATAACAGCATAAACTTAGTAAGAATGACAGATAGATACTGAAGGGAAAAAATGTCAGACTCAAACAAAATAACTGATACTCTAACGTGTTACATCATATTATTTTTATGTAGTTTATTTGTGTCAATATCAAAGCCAGGTTTGCTTTATACTTCTTTATCTAAAATTTCAAATGGTAGGGAACCAAATGCATACTGGTTTGAGCGAACTTCAACATTACATCACTTTTATTCCCAAATGCTAGTTTCAAAAGAAATAAAGCATCCTAGATTTTTTTTTTCACATGGGAGAGTTCAGAAAAGAGGGGGAACATTTTATTTTGCCTCTGTTCTTGCTTTTCATGAACTTGCTTTGAACTTTTGAATTTATCATTCCAATTCTCATTAAAAAGCACAGTGAGTCACTATCTTCTGTACAGAATTAGAGGTTGGATAATGGAAAAATAATCTCCAGGTGAAACGAACACTAGGAGGAAGTTAAAACTCCTACACCCTCAAAAAGATTTGGGAGTTTTCCCAGGTCAAAAGAAAACATAAAAGCCTAACAAATGTTTTACATAAAACACGGCAAAAAGTGCATAGATGCTGGTTAGCATCATCTGAGAAGACGGAATGAGACACGGTCATAATTCTCTCCTTTGAAGGAGTTATTTTGTAACCTAACAACTTTCTCATTCGGTGATATCTGTACCTTCCCAGAAAGCAAAGGCATGAAGAGAAATCATAATGCATCCTTAAGCATTTAAAGAGCATTGAAAGTGGTTTGATGACAGTCACACACTTGCAGTGTTTGAGACAGCACGGTGGTGCTCACCGTCACCCGGCTTTGGGTGTCCACATCAACACACCAGACAGGCCACCTTCCTTCCCCATATCCTCATCAAACCTGGGCCAGTTCTGAATGAACATCAGGCAGCTGGTCCAGAGATACCAGAAAAGACCCATTCTGCTTATTCGAAGTTGAACGAACTCTAGAAAGTGACCAGGGTGTAACCCGGGCTTCTCCAAGAGAATGGAAAAGCCGGGTTTACTCCCGATGTATCTCCAAGGCAGCCCTCAAAACCTCGTGAGGCGCTGATCGCAGGCAGCCCCACAGGAAAGCTGACATTACAGGGCTGTTCAGTTGTTCACAAATATTTATTGAGCACCTACTAAGTATTCAACACTCTGATCAGGGATTCAGAGGTAAACAAGACCAATGGCTCCATCATACCTGCACAAAATAAAATTTGAAAATATGAAAGGAGCTGTGCATTTCTAATGCAAGATACATCCCTTCTCCGGACCTTCTCAAATAAGTGTTCCTTCTGCTCAGAACAGAGTCTTTCTCTCCTGTTAACTCCTACTCATCCTACAGGACTCAAATGTCACTTCTGTTCTTGACCCTCCCAGATTAAATGTGATGCCCGGCTACGTGCTTCTAATAGCACCCTGTTTCCTTATTAAAAGATGTCTCACTTTTCACTGTAACTGCTGCTTTAATGGTCCGTCCTCTCCCTGCTATCCCGTACCATCCACGTGGTCAGGATCCTTGTCTATGTGTCCTAGCCCCTGTTAGCATAGTGCTTGATACAGTTAGTACCCAAAAACTATTTCATCTAAAATAATATGTGGTCATTGTTCATAAAGAGAAACAACCAATTTAAACTTTTATCTTAACTCTGGGTTAGTTTTTAAAACTCTCTGAAATTGCTAGCACAGATAGATTTTTTTTTTCATTTAAAAACAGCTCATTGTAAGTTCCATCCCTCTGAAAGCTACAAAACTTAGAAAATTATTGAATGTTGCTTCCAAAGAGTCAACTATTATTCCATTCTCTTTCCTTTAAAATTAAGTTTTTTGTTTTGTTTTTTAAAGATTTTATTGGGGGAATTGGGGGAGGGAACAGCATTGGGGAATGGGGAAGGGAGAGGAACAGACAAGTTACTGTCCTTTTGTTCTTCAGTCTAATTGTGGAGGAAGTCGTTTCACTGGCCCATGTTGATATTGTGATCATTGCGCTCTTCCTGGGTGAGGCAGATCGATCGCCAGCCATTAGACGGCTGCTCATGGCGGCTCACGGCAGCTCATGCTGGCTGTTGGCCACACATGGTAGCTTATGGCAGCCCACTGCAGCCTACGCCATTGTCGGTGACTCACGGCAGCCCAGCTCCAGGTCAAGCTGTTGTTCACCATCTTAGCTATAGAGGGCAGTGTCACTGGCTCATGTGGGATCTGAACCGGGGCCCTGCTACTCAGAGCTGGCATCCCAAGCCAGCCCTTAAGCAATGCGCCACTTGGCCGGCCCAAAATTAAGTATTTTCATTAGGTTGAAAAACCTCATAATGAAAATTAAATCTTCTTTAAGCATTTCCCCCAAAAGATATTGGTATTGAAATTGTATTCACCTTTGATGGGTCATATCTTCTGAGCACTTCTAAGAGTTGTGGAACTTGTACTCTTGTCTCTTCTTCACAGAAGAAAATCCATGATGAATTTCTGCTATATGCTACAGAAAAGCTGACAAAAGGAAACGGATTATACTAATCTCTTTATAAAAGGAGATCTTAATAACGTTTAAAACTGATAGGAAGGAAACAGATGAAGGACATATAAAATGGCAAGAATCTACAGTTTCCCTATATTTTTCTTCAATTATTAATAATAGCTTCAGATATAGGAAAGCCACACACTAATGGGATATACAACAGCTAGAGTTCTTAATGTTAGATTATTTTCAAATATAAATATCAAATATATAGACATTTTATCTTTTAAGAAAGACATATTTAAAAATAAAAGCCACTCTTAATTAGGAGTCAGTCATCAAGAAATTTGGTTAATGTAGTAATCATAAAAAGTGGAGTTCAAATTTACCTCACTGAATGTGTGAGGACCCCGGCCGGACCCTAGGCAAGACAGGCTTATTCTAAAAATACCCCAGCCTTGAAAAATAAAGAGGAAGCCACACTTCAGCTACTGCAGCTAGACTTAGCAGGAGTATCCTGTTCAGACACCAGAGTGTGGTAATAACAAACTGAAACTTAATATCACAAGAAATGATTATAGTAAAAGCTTAGATTTCCAAGAAATGGGTTGCAATTTTACAAAATTTTTTTTTGCAACTGGTTTGAGACATCTCACAAAAACTAACAGCTCTTCTTGCTTCTGCTTTTGCCCAAAACCGTGGAAATCAAGCCCTATAAAACTTCCACCTGCCAAGACCTCGGGGCCGTTCTCCTCTTGCAGAGGGAGGCAGTCGCCAGGCTTGGCTCAATAAAGCTTTTGGAATGAACCTCTGTCTCTTAGGTCATTTTTAAGAAGTAAGGACCTAAGAACTGTCTCTGAGAAAAAACAAATCTTCTTGATAAGAAAATTAGGGAGCTTACAAGTGTCAAGAACTGACATAGTTTGAGGTAAACATACTGTGGTAACAGTGGAAGTATGGTCCAGGCACCTTCCTGCTTAGACAGCTCATGAAGAAGAAGGACTCTGGGGAGCTCCTAAAGAAATATTATCAAAGAAGAGAAAAATAAAAATACAGTATGATCACTCCAATTGGAAAAAGACAATTTTAAAACACAGGGATTGAGAAAAAATGGCGGCGGTGAGGAGGGCTCCCTGAGTTCTCCCCTGGAAAGCACAGCAATTTGAGCAGCTGGAGCGCAGCAAAGAAACCTCTACCGAGCACGCTGAGCAGTGAAGAGACTCCCACGCCGAGTACTTAAAGGTGGGCAGACCGGGCGAGTGGGGGAAGAGGGAGGCGAGCGTGTGGAGGCACAGCCCGCACCAGCGGCGTTTGAGACTCGGGGTCTCAGAGAGCAGATCAGAGAGTTCCCCGCGGCTCCGGCCCGCGCTAAGGCAGAATCCTCAGGCCGGGCGAGTAGGGGAATGGAGAGAGGAGTGCTTGAGCAGAGGCACAGTCCATCCACACCCACGGCTGCAGAGCAGTGGAAATCCAGGATACTGCGGAGTGGTTTGCAGCATCAGGGCAGGCTCAGCCTCTGGGCCAACTGTCCCGCTGGGAGTGCGACAGGGGACCCAGAGCGCGCAGTGTCTGAGGCAGAAATCTCAAAGCAGCGAGCAGGAGAAGAGGGAAGAGAGAAGCGTGGAGACACAGCCTGCACCCCACAACTGTGAAGACACGAGCTGCCTTGCCAGGGGGCACTCCAGGAGAGCAGCAGGGGCTCTGCGGGAGCGTTGGAGGGGGCTTTTTTCTTTTTCTTTCTTTTTATTTTCTTTCTTTTTTCCCCTTTTCTCAGACAGGAAAAAAAATAACTAAACTGCATAGATAAGTGCCCACCCCCACCCTCCCTCAGAAACCTTGGCCTCCGCCCTGCCAGAGCCTGAGGTTAACCTCTGAAGAGAGGAGTAAGACAGAACAAAGGTGCTTCTACTCCCTGGGGGTTGAGAAACTCTGCATGAGAACAGGCTGCAGGAGTGTGCACCTAAACACGCCATCCCCGCCCCCACCCCTCCTGGGCGGCTTGGGAAGCAGAGCAACTTCGGATGCTGAGACATGGGAAGGCCTACCCGACAGCTATGAAATCCCCCCCGCCAACACCCCAACAGCCCCCAGTGGAAAGAGCACCCAAAAGACGCACATCCAGCCCTCTGGCTGCACAGAAATCAGAGTGCCTCTGGGCAGCAGGAGCGGAAACAGCACTGACTTTGTAAAAAAAAAAACAATCATACCTCATAACTCCACTCATCTAAACTAGACATGCATTACCAGGCTCACTCTAGGTGCCACGCGGCTGGCTCTGCCCCTACAAGACCCAGAGAGTGTGTGTATAGCAGAGGAAAACCTGGGGAGAGCTTGGCGGACTTCAGCCAACATTGGCACTGGTTATTTCTTGTTTTTTCTCCTTTTTTTTTTTTTTTTGGTTGGTTGTTTTCAGCTTTGGTTTCTCTTTTGGTGTGTTATATTGTTATTGTTAATTGGGTTCTCTTGTATGTTTTGGTTTGTTTTTTTTTTCATTGATTGCTTGTGTTGGTTGTTTTTGGATTTTTCTATTTAATTAGTATTTTTAGTTTTTTATATAGGCATATATAAAGGTGCATATATGTGGATATATATGTCTATTCATATGGGGGTGTACACATAGATAGATAGATAGATAGATAGATAGATAGATAGATAGATAGATAGATAGATAGATAGATATACACACACAAACGTATTTTTTTCTTCCTTTTTCTCTCTTTCTTTCCTTCTCTTCTAACCTCTCTCTTTCCCTTCTTTCCTGCTTCCTTGTCACAGCTTGATTTGTGTCCTTCTTTCCATTTTTTCTGCAAGTTTGTTTTTTTGCTGTTGTTGTTTTAAGGGTGTTGCTGTTTTGTTTCTCACATTCATGCTATTTTTTAGTTTATTATATTTTATTTTATTTTGTTCTGTTATTTGTTCCTTGTTTTTTGTTTTTTCATTGTCGTTTTGTTTCTGTTGGTTTGTTTTCTTCTTTGTATTTGATATTTCTGTACATGTTGAGGGTAGGGTTATGGTTATTTTGTACATCAGAGAGTATCTTACCTTTGGTGGCTGTTGTGGTTGTGCTTGTTGATCTGTTTTGCCCTAACACCTGCTTGGCTGCGGGGCTCAGTCAAAGAAGCACAAGAATCATCACACCCAGAAACCAACTTTAGATAAAAGCAGAGCATTACAGGGTCTGACCTACAAGATTCACACCCAAAGGGAAATTGCTACAGGCACAAGAGCCCCTAGGGGCCAACTCTCATCAGAGGGGTCAACCATTACACAACAGCTTACAAACTTTGGACACAGCTAATCCTCACGGCTAGTCAGATTGGAAGTCAAGCCGACCTACTGACAAGCCGAAAGCAATCAAAACTAGACCGCAACAGGAGAAGGCACATAACACAAGGAACACCTCTGGGACACACATGGGAGAAAAGAGAGTCTGAGCAATTCAAATACAAAGGACATATACCACATAAGTCCACCCAGAAAAGACTGAGAGACCTAGGGGATCTACCTATTTCATCGAAGCAAACACAAAGAGTAAGCCAGAATGGGGAAACAAAGAAACACATCCCAAATAAAAGAACA